ATACACATACACACACACACACACACATACATACACATACACACACACACACACACACACACACACACACACATGTCTTAGCGTGTGTCTGTGTCGGACGGGCGGCCAGCACATGTGTGACTGTCTGTAAGTGTCGGGGAAGGAGTACAAGCGCTCTGGGCGTGGAACGTCAGTAGATATACAAACTCGACAATAATATTTTTCCCCGGCTACTGATCAATATTACAATGAAAAGCTAGTCTTGAAATAGATTTACGCGATGAAATGCGCGCTGTACTATAGAATTAAACGTTGCGTAAGCTATGCTCTACGCAGCAATATAATTTGTTTGGCAAACAGTACGTTATACGTTATAAATTATAGGTGCCATATTGGTCGAGTTCAGCGCATTTTCGGGGAATTTTCCAGCATTTCTTCGGAAACAAAAATGCCCCTCATTTGAAGCCAAACAGCTTTTGATAGAAAAAGTAGAATACAGAAACCATTATGTGCTCGGTGCCTTTACATATCTACACAAAAACCTCAAATTTGCTCAAACGAACGCTCGGATTCAACGAAATTGAAGGCCAGGCCCGACGACTTCGTTGAATCCGAGTTCCACTGTATAACCTCTTTGGAAGTGACTCACCTCGTCGTACGTGAGGTAGACGTCCACACTGGGCAGACGGTTGCGAGGTTGGCCTACGTAGAAGAGGTACTGCAGTCGCCAGCGATAATGGTGTGCGGCAGCCAGGAGAATCAGAGTAGAAGCAAAGACAACAGTGAGCACCACCATCGCTAGGAACACATCTGGAGATTAAGTAGGTCATTGCATGTGAGTGTTTTATGCTCCCATCGACACAGATTCGTGACACGATGCGCAGGAATCAGGCGCCCGTCATTTTTCTTCTTTTTTGGTTTTTTTTTTCTTGATTGAGTAGGTGTTTTACGACACTATCGACTCAATTTTGGTCATGTAAGTGCCAACTGCAACAGATCTAGAATCATGTCACGTTTTATTAAGAGTTTTTCGGCGCTCGCAACTGCACAAGGTTAAATCATCATGTTAAAAGGACGGACAGACATTTATACAATTTTTTGTAAATATGGTGTGAAGACCCTTATTTGCATTGGTATTTACAATATTAATTTCAGTGTATGTATATACACTGACAACGACAACGATACATTTCTATATCCTATCAAAAATTTCTATTTCTTTAAGCAAATTTAAGATTTTTTTCGGACTAACGATGTCAAAAAGAGTTTTGACATCCCTACATTTGAAGTATTTTATACGTATATGGTTGAAGTCGACACGTTCTGTCAGGATATGCCGAACTGTAAAATACGTGTTGCACCCCACGCAAAAAGGAGCTTCCTCTCCTTCGAGTAAATGTTTGTGCGTGAGATACGTGTGTCCTATTTTTAATCTTGTGTAAATAACATTCTGTCTTCGTAGGCGAGACACGGGTTTCCTGGGCGTGAGTATCGGTTGAATGTAATGGAGTTTGTAGTGTTTTGTTGGTTCCAAATTTGGGACCAGGAGGATGTGATGTGTTCTTTTACATTCGATCTCATGTCAGAGAAAGGGATTTTACTATTTTTGTTTTCAGGTAGTTTTAGAGATTCTTTGGCAAATTGGTCAACGGCTTCGTTGCCATCAATGCCTACATGGCTTGGAAGCCAAGCTATTGTAACAGTTTTTCCAGATTGATGTAAAAAATGCAGTTTAATTATAAATTCTGTTGTCGGAGATGTCAGAGCGCTCTAAAGATTTTAGGCAAGAGAGAGAGTCTGAAAGGATTAGGAAAGTAGACTTGGTTGATTTATCTATAATATTTAGGGCCATTTCAAGATCTGTAGCCTCAGCAGTGTAGATTGAGGCTTCTGGGTTGAGTTTCCTTAAACTTAAGCTGAGTGGTGATGCAAGGGCAGCAGCTCCTACTGAGGAGTCTTTTTTGGATTCGTCTGTAAAAAGTTTCTCTGCTTCAGGGTATCTGTTTATTAGCTGTTTGTATGAGTTCAGGTGTGTGGTTTTGTCTGTAGACTTTTTGTTGTGTTTTTCAAGACTTGTATCCATGTTTGGTTTGGTTAAATGCCATGTAAGTATGCTGGACATGGCAAAGGGCTCGATTATGCCCTTAGAAAAATCAACGTCTTGGAGATCGTTCTGGATTCTTATTCCGAAATGGCTTACTTTATTTCCTAAGGAGGAGTTTTTAGATCTTCGGAAAGGCCAAAGACACATTTGTTGGCTGGGTTTTGGGGTACTTAGCTAAGTTTCAAAGCGTACTGCAAAGAGAGTTCTTTTCCTCTAAGTTCTAAAGATGGTTCGTGAGCTTCTGCCTGTAAACTTTCTACAGGTGAAGTACGGAAAGCGCCTCGGGCAAGGCGAAGGCCTTGGTTCGGAACTGGGTCTACAATTTTAAGGTAAGACTTTCTAACTGATCCGGAAAACAGGACTGGTATAGTCCAGCCTGGAACGAACAAGGGAGCGGTAAACTTGATGAAGTATTTCAGTATCCCCTCCCCATTCGGGATCGGATAATACTTTTAAGGCGTTGAGAACACTCTGACACCTCGTCTGTAGGTCTTTCAAGAGAGTGTGGTTGGAAAGAAAGTTTGTTGTCGAAGATAACGCTCAGGAAATGAGCTTGTTTTTTATCAGGAATTTTCTCCCCAACCAAAGATAGGTCTGGTTGTCGCACACACTTGTGCGACAGACAAAAATGGACACAGTTCGTTTTTGTCGTAAAAATTTAAATCCGTGCCCGTTTGCCCAAACTTTCAGTTTATGGAGTTGAAGCTGAAGCTGACGTTCAATGTGATATATTTTTAAATTTAATTTGTAGCAGATCAGGAAGTCGTCAATGTAAAGTGAGCAGTCAATATTGTTTTGAAGGCTTTTTGTGACGGAATTGATTTTGATTTAAAAAGGAATGGGTGATAAGATGCTGCCCTGGGGGACGCCTTCTTGTTGGGTGTGTACATTTGAGAGGGTGGAAACTTCTTTTACTTGAAATAATCGATCTTTCAAAAGGTTTCGTATAAATTCAGGAAGATTTCCGCGTAAGCCCAAGTCATGCAGGTCTTTCAAAATATCATGTTTCCATGTGGTGTCAAAGGCTTTTTCTAAGTAGAAAAAAATAACCACAAGGTACTCTTTCCGAATGAAAGCTTCCGGAATGAAAGTTTCAAGTCGGACGAGATGGTCAATAGTAGAGCGATTTTTGCGTAAAACCGCATTGGAAATTGGATAAAGAGTTTGAGGTTTCGAGAAACCACATCAGACGTTTGTTAGTAAGTTTTTCAATAAGTTTGCAGAAACAGTTTGTTAGTGCTATGGGACAGTAGTTTGGTGGGTTAGAGTGATCTTTTCCTGGTTTTGGGATTGGTATAACAGTAGCAAGACGCCAATTGTTCGGAAATAGTTGAGAATGCCAGAGATTATTGTAAATGTCAAGGAGTAATAGGAGTGTTTCGTCTGGGAGATGTTTGATGATTTCGTTGTGTATTTGATCAGGGCCTGGAGCTGTGTTTGATAGCTCTGCAATGTTACATTTTAGTTCACCCAGAGAAAAGCTACAATAATAGTTTTCTTCATTTGAAGAGGTAAAGTCAACAGTTGTCTTTTCACTTTTTTGAATTCCAGGTTTAGTGTTGGGTAGAAGAATTTCCGGAAAGGGTTGATGCCATACAGTCAGTTACTGTTTTTTCTGTCTCTGCGAAGGAGTTATTTGGTTTTAAGATGTGTTTGAATGTGTCTATTTTGGTATCTTTTAATTTCTTTATCATCTTCCAGACTTTGTACATTGGTGTGTTGTTTATTTTAGAGACATAATTGCGAAATATATTTTTTGGCCGTTCTGATTATTCTGCGTGCTTGGGCTCGTGCAATTTTGAAATTCGTGAGGTGTTCGTTTGTTTTAGAGTTGACGAACTTCCTAAGAGCTGAATTTTTGGCCGCAACAGCTTTTTGGCAGTCTTCAGTGAACCAGCATTTATTTTTTCGGGGTTTGTTGGACAATTTTGGTATGTGCCTTTATACGATTTCTAGAAGGGTTTCATGAAATTGATAAAAACTTTGTTTTTGAGGTGGGTTGAGTCTCTGGGGGCATTCCATGTGAAACTTATCCCAGTCCGCTCTTTTAAGATTGAAACAGTCAGGGATAGGAGTTCGGTGTGGAATGTCTTGAATTAGGCTGGTGGGGTAGTGGTCCGATCCGTGTGGGTCGTCCAGGACCAACCACTGAAAGTCTGGAATTAGATCTGGATCACATAGGGTTAAATCTATGTATGAAAAGTTTAAGTTATTTGAATTTTTAATTTGTTGGGGAATTGTCGTTAAAAATACTAGTATTGGTTTTTGTTAAGAAAGCTTCTATGATTTTACCTTTAGTGTCAGTTGGTTCATTTCCCCTAAGAGGGCTATGGGAATTTAAATCTCCTAACATGATGAAGAGTTGTGGGAGCTGTTCTCTGAGGTTTATTAGTTCTCTTAAAGATAGAAAATAATTTGGAGGGATGTATGTTGAAAAGATAGATATAGGACGGTGTAGGGTGACTCTGACCGCGACTGCCTGAAGTGTTGTGTTTATGTGTATTTGTCTGTGTAGTGTTTGGTAATTTATTAAAATGGAGTTGCCCCCAGAGGCGATTTGGTTGTTGGTATATATTTGGCTGTAAATTTGATAGTCTTTTTAATGTGAATGTGTGTGTGTTGGCAATTTAGTTTCTTGTAGACAGATAACATTTGGGGGGTGTGTTGTCAAAAGATGGGAGAGTTCTGATAGGTTTGCACGCAAACCGCGAATGTTCCACTAAAGAACAGCCATTTTTGTTTATTTTAAGGGCACGGGTTCAATACATTTCTTTTTTGTTGTAGGTGACCGTTGTCTCGTTTTGTAAGGCTACGGTCACGGTGGACAGCAGCTTTTTTTAAGGGGAGTGTGGAGGGGGAGGAGGACCAGAGTCCCGGATGCGGGTAGAGGAGGAGGTGGTTGTGCGGGGAGTAGGTGGAGGGGCTTTGTTGGATGAAGGGCGATGGGATGGAGTTGATGAGGGTGGGGAAGATGAAGATATAGCTGGCGGTGGGGATGAAGATGAGCATGGTGAGGATGAGGATGGGGGTCAGGATGAGGGTGGTAGTGAGGGTGATGTAGGTGAGGGTGAAGATGGTGGTGAGGATGAGGAACGTTGTGAGGATGAAGGTGGAGATGGTGAGTGTGGTGGGGGTGAAGATGAAGATGAGTGAGATTTGGAGGGGATGAGTGGAGTGAGAGCTCCATGTCCTCCTCCTGGTTTTCGTGGCGCTTTTGGGGGTTTAGATGTCTGTTGTTGGACACACTTGGTGTTTTGACGTTTTGCTTGGGATTTTTTTTTTTTGTGGGGGGGGTTCATTGTCAGCTGTCTTGGGGCCTGCCTCGGCAGCTTCTGCGTATGTCTTCTGTGTTGCCTCTAATCCCATCGGGAAGACGGCTGCCTTAGCCTGGGCAAAGGTGCCTCCGAACTTCGCTCAGTGGGTGAGGATGGCCTTTTCTTGTGAATACTTGGGACAGTCCTTTGAATATTATTATGCTGGGTATCCTCCCTGCTGGCAATTTGGGCACCGAGGAACTGACATGCAGGATTCGTTGGAGTGACCCTCCTTACCACAGCGAGGGCAAACAGCATTTCGCCGGCATTTTAATTTAGTGTGTCCGAACAGTTGGCAGATAAAACAACGCATCGGGTTTGGAATATAGGGCCTTACTTCTAGTTCCAAGTATTCTATTGTCAATTTGGTAGGAGGTCTTGGACAGTCGAAA